GGTAATGTGCAAGAAGGGGATATTAGCCTGTTTCGCAGGACACTGGATAGTCCTAATAACTTCCTTATAGTTGATGCGCAAGCTTTGACATTTAAATATAAGGCCTATATGATCCTGCTCACGTCGCCGAAAGTGGAAAGATTTAATGAGGCTGTCAAATGGCCGGGTTTTACTCAATACTTCATGCCAATTTGGGATCATGAGGAAATCATCACGCTTTGGGATCTTCAATACAAGAATAAGAAAAATGAAGAAGGTGAAGAGTTCACACTTGAATTAGTCGGGGAATTGTTAGACAAGTGGGGTCCAATACCCAGGTCAGTTCTTTTAAAATGGGACGATGAGGCGTATCAGCAGAAATACCAACAATTACCGTACCGCACTGATTAAGAGATCCCCAATTTATTGTACCCCCCATATAAAATACCCGGGTATTTTATATAGCATAAAATTTTTTACCACGTATAATACCCGGGTATTTTATAAATTTTAAACGATGAATTATGTTTAAGACCCGGGTATTTTATATAACATACTTTGATTAAGTACAAAATATGCTTGGGATTGAAGGTTTGTGATTTGTGGCATTAATCGGAATTGTAATGTAAGTAACATATGTATTCGCTTTTACACAATATATAAATTATTAAAGTGGTTTTATATGCAATAGTGAATGCTTGACTAACATCAACATTCATTTTTATTAAAAGAGAAAACACGCTTCGCATTTGAAGCATTTCAAAATATCCAATATGGATCATGATAGAGTTTGTAAACTTATTATATCTAAGATAATTAATGTGTCTATCGGAAATAGCCTTTTCAAACCATTCTTCCGAAGTATCTGCACGATTTTACTAAAATTTATCATTCGACCTTGAGCTGATAAGATATTACAATATGAATCTTACGGCATTATACTAAGTAATAAATAGAATAAAGAGTTAACACATGTAACCTAATTAGGATTCCGCAAGTACTAGACAGGGTGCTATGAAGACATAGTGTGGTGCTTAGCACATGCAGAACCCCAGAAATAATATTTTGGATAAATGCTGCCAGAAGAAAATAAGACATCGGCTTTCAGGTTTATCATTTATTATTTACAAGATTCAGCCCATAAGAAATCTAATTGGTAACATATTTAAACACGACTTTGTATCATATATATTAGGGGGGTTTCAAAATTAAAATCAGAAAATCTTATTTTTCCGATTAATAATTCAATATAATAAAAGTGCTATTGATTTATTTTCGAAATGCGTCACTTATTAGTTAATTTTGAAACCCCCTATTACTATAAGTTTTTAAGGGCTGAATTTGGTAAATAATAAATGGTAAACTTGAAAGCCTAATGGCTCACTTTCTCTTTAAATAAAAATTATTTACCAATATTTATTAAATGTCCATTGTCCAAATGTATTGTGGTGACTAATTCCAATCTTGAATAATATTGGTGTTCTCATTTTCACTATAATAATCAATATACACAAAAGGGCTTTTGTGTGTATTATTATTATTATCATCATAATTGACTGCTTCATTATCTTCACCGTCTTCTTCATTGTCTTCACTGTCTCCTTCTTCATTGTCTTCATCATTTTCTTCTTCATCACCGTCTTCTTCTTCATTATCACTAGCTGTTTCAGCTTGATCTTCAATTCCTCTTCCTGGATTCATTTGATTATCAATTCGAGAGAAGTTAAAGATTAAATCATCTTCAGTTCCATCCATCGCATTCGAAATCCCACAACATTTAAATGATTTTCTAATCAGGTTGAGGTTAACAGATTTCCAAGCTTCACTAATCCAACTTGCAACTAAACCATAAGATGGATGTTTCATTTTACGTGAATGTGTAAATTCTTTGATACTCTCATCAAACCATCGGTTATATAAGTGACGAACCTATTTATATTATTAAAAAAAAAAAAAATTAAGATTAAAGATGCAGACATTAAATCATGAGATAATATACTGTATAGCTATATGTGGCAGCTACTCAATTTTATATATTACAAAAAAATAGCTACCCTTAACCTAAAAAATGTCTGCATCTCTAATAAAGATCAAAAATATTATAATAAATTAAAAATTACCTTTGATTTAAACGACTTGTTTATAGAAATATCAAGTGGTTGTAGGCGGGATATTAAACCACGAGGAATTATTGCAAGATCAGTATTTTTTTCTTGAAAATGTCATTTCACATGATCCGTTGTGTGACTAGCAAATGCATCCATAATGCAAAAAGAACGTGGATTATTACTATGTTGTGCTCGTCAAGTCCAAACATTCTCCACCCACCATACCATTTCATCTTCATTCATCCATCCTGAAGGGTTCGCACGTACAATAACATCATCAGGAAATTCTTCACAAGGCACCTTAACTAGTTTAAAAATAATTAGAGGCAGGAGCTTTGTACCATCAGCTAAACAAGCTAAAACAACAGTAAATATTGAACGTTCATGCCCAGTTGATGCGATTGATATAGTTTTAGATCTTTTTTCTTCAATTGTGGTAGTATTTGTCATATTAAAAGATACAGCAGTTTTATCCATATTGCAAATTAAAGATAAAGAATAATCATAACTATGACGTTTGTAAAGTATAAAGGATAAAAATTTGCTTTGTTCTTCATTATAAGTTTTAGGAAGATGTTGAGCGGTAGTAGTATGCCTACGGTTAACCAAATTATGCTGTGACATAAATCTATCTACCCATTTTTGAAAAAATTTATGATTTTCAATTCCATGAAACTGGTTTTGGTAACTAGAAGTGGCAGCAAGAAAATAAGCTTTTGCTTGAATCATATAGTGACTGATGGTCTTTTGCTAGGATCGGGCCTGGTGAAACTATTCAAATAACTTAACTTCAAGCTCAGGATACTTAGGTTTAGCACCAGGTGCTAGCTTTTGAACATACGGTGCAATTTTCATAAGCTCTGGTTTTTTACTAATCTATTCTCTAAGTTGCTTTGGTTCTATTTCAAATTTATCAGCTATTGAACGCTTGCTATGCCCTTGTTCATAGTAAGTTATAATCATTAATTTTTCACGTGCTGACCACTGTCGGTTTTTTTTTTTGTCACTTGGGCGCGACGAGCTTTAAAATTTCCACAGACTATTTTGATTCTTAGTGTAATAAAAATCTTTGGTGCCTATGGTTAAACCTATAATGAATTTTTTTTTTGATAAATCAGTTTTTATTTTTATTTTTTTAAAAAAAAAAATTATTCTGCTTATAAATCTTACTTGTGTGCAATTATACAAATTATTTTTGACAACCACTCTTAACGTAGTAAAGAGTAATAATCCAAGATATGAATACCTCTTAAATTTAGAATACAATCTAACTTTTATTGAACGTGAAATTAATTTGGATTTTTCAAAATAGATAACAAAAACTAGGTTTAGTTTTTGTTATCTATCTTGTGATCAACCCTTAATTATGACAAATTACATACTATGAGCCATCCAGTAAATTTTTTCTAAGTGTCAAAAGTTCAAGCACCACTATTATAATGGAAGTTACTTGTAATTCTTGCTGGTTTATACAGTATATCCGTTATCCTTACAGGTCTTTGTATTGCCACTATTGTTGCAGCTCTTGTTGCTGCCGTTGCTCTTGTAGCAGCTCTTGTTGCTACCATTGCCCTTGTAGCTCTTGTTGCTACTACTGTTGCTCTTGTAGCTCTTGTTGCTACTTCTGTCTTTGCAGCTCTTTCTTGTTATTGCTGCTTCCATTGAGTTTTTTTTTTTTTAGTTAATTTCTTGCTAAGCATTCTTAAATATGTATTATCATTTTATTAAGTACTTCTTCTATTAAAAAGACTTTAAATTTTACCTTCTATTTAATTTTTAAAAAGGAATAGGCAAGGTCCGTATGTCCAAGATCACATTACTCTCTTTTATAATTGGGGTATGTTACTTAAAATTCTTGTTTTGCGAATGTCTAAGACAAAGAATTTACCTAATTTGTCTTGCAAATGCAAGATTATGCGTAACGATAAAATTCTCCGTGTATTATATCCCCAACACAAAATACCCTCTTACAAAATACCCTACTACACAAAATACCTGTTACTGGTCAAGATACCTCCGGGTATTTTATAAGATTTTGGTCAGGTATTTTGTTTTAGACCCTGGGTATTTTAATCAGTACAGTACGGTAATTAATGAAGTCAACTTAGAAGATTGTATAAACTTCTATTGATAAGTCAGGCATGCCTACAGGCGCCATTAGCAGTAGGCTTGTACATCTTGACCCAGTTTCAAAATTTACGAGTACAGTATATTGTTTTGCTTCTCCGAGGGTGTTTGATAGGGTTATTCAAGAATATGAAATTAGAACAAAGAGGAACGCTCGTGATTTAATCATGAACAGTCACGAATTTCTGAAGATTGCCGGATTTCAGGGAAATATGTTTGAAGATTTTGCCTATAGGGAGTTGCAAAATGGTGGTACGTTTAGAGTGCGGTGCCTGAATGATGATAACTCAGAGGTAAACGAAAGAAATATCAGGGAGATGGAGTGTAACTGGTTCACAACACTGAATGAAGCACATAAGGAATATTATAACAGACCAAAATCAAAGACATTTGCATCGATTGATTCTTTTAGCCTCGATAGCAAAACCTTGGACCTGTATCAAATTACTGTCTCAACAAATCATGGCATGAAGGTAAGGGACAATAGACATAATTGAATTTATAGTTTGTCACTATCACTTTTATCACTAACTTAGATCATATAGATAAAAGGGCTTAATGACCTTGACTGTCTACTTGCATGGAGAAAGGATATGAATAACTTTAATTTATACTTTGTCGTACCACCAGACATTTTTGGAACATTTCCCCTACAAAGATACAAGACAACTAAAGACAAAGATTGTCAGAAAATTCTGGGATGGATTAACAATATAACCCAATATGCACTAGAGATTAACTTGGGAATTAGTAATAAAGGCGTGAAAAAACAATCTAGTGATGCGATGTCAGGAGATGATGAAAATGAGGAAACGACAGGGAAGGGAATGAATAAAGATGTGAAAAAATGAAAAAGAGAAAAGAGTATTGCAATGTTGGGAGACGATGGAAGTAAAGAAGCATCAGGGAGCAACGTGGATTCAGGATAGCGCAAT